GGAAATTGCTGTGATACAATCTGTGGCTACTGCACTTCTTTTTGATATAACGAGCTCTGCATTGCTAGAATATAAAAAACCTTTGGTGTCCTGAGGCGCTTTGTAGGTGTGGCAACCATACATATACTTCCTTCCACAACGTGGTGTGGTTTTAATTAATCATAGAAGTAATTACTATAGGAGATTTCTTGGGAGCTCAGAAATTTGGAGGACTAAAGTGGCTCATAGCTCTTTTGATTTTATAATACAAGGATAAGAGGACAACGTCATAGATATATTCTCATAGTTTCAGTAGGTTTGCAGTTGATTTTCTTCAGTGTTCTAAGTATATGAGCATATTTTCTCTAAGTAATTACAATTTTAAAAATATTTTCCTATTCCTGAGATTTATAAATGCTTTTCTTTTTTAAAAAATCAAAAGTGGATCTTGAATTTTATTAAATGCCAAAGTATCATTTTTAAAGGTGGTAACATAGATTATTCGACATTTTAAATGTGATGTTTTATTTAAACAGATCTCCTAATGCAAATTAATTTTTATGTAACTTGTGATAAAAACTACTTAGTATTGTGGTGAATTATTCCTTTAACATGCTGTTCAATTCAGTTTTTCAGTAAGCATACTGACTGAGAGCATGGATTCTGAAGCTTTGTGAGCTTATAACTTACTGGGAAGAAAGGCCAGTAGGAAACTAAATAGCATGTGGGAAAAGGGGCTTTCTGAATTTGGTCCAGTGCAGTAGTCACTACCCACATGCAGCTGTTTAAACTCAATTAAAATCAAATAAAGTTAAAAATTCAGTTCTCACTAGCCACATTTAAAATGCTCAGTAGTTATGTGTGGCTACTTAAATAAAATTAAAAATCCATTTCCTCTGTTGTACTTGTCACATTTCAAGAGTTCAGTAATCACAGTGAAGATACAGAACATTTTTATTACTGCAGAAAGTTCTTTTGTAAAATACCGCTGTAGACAAACTGCTGGATGGTGCTAAACTAACCTTGCTATGAGCCCCATTATCAAAGCCAAATACTTTGTGAGGATTTGACTAGTTATCCTGAAGTTCTGTGATTCTGTGTCTATTTAGACTTATAATCATTGGGCTTTTCTTCTCCACACTCTTAGATTTGCAGATATT